GCACTCTGGTTGTGGTCCACGAGTTCTACCTCCAACGCTTATCTTGAAATGCATATTGTAACCACATTGTGCATTTTCTTGTTGATACATCACTTTAATGTGATTTCAAAGTGCTCCTGGTGCCGTTATTACAAATTTGCTCTATTTTTCTCAACTCGTCCTCGACTCAAGTCCATTACATCCAGAGGTCGACCCCACAGACGCATTCATAAATTTTTACATACTGTTCATTCAAAGCGGGAATATTCTCAAATATAAAATAATATTATAATATATTAGCATATTGTACATATATAAGCATATGTTAGATTAAGTGTTTAGGTTCTGTTGGCGGTTATTTATACTTGTATTACGTGGGTGAAGCATTTACAGCGTTGTGGTTCGAACAAAATTCGTCAGTGAAGTACTTGTTCCAGAAGTGTTCGAACGAAATCAGTTGTGAGTCGTTGAAAACTGTTTTCATTCATAAACAGGGGGCTTGGCGGATGCATGGAATCACTTTTGGACCTTTGTTTGGAAGACTTGCTGATTTTTATGGCTGGTGTGGTATCATTAGAGTCAGGTTCTCAGGCTGTGGGAAAATATTCCCACCTATTTACTAAACATTTAGTTAATTAAGTATACAGCAAAAAATTTTAATTTATGTTGCTGTATAAAACTATTGAAATTAATTTGAAGTAAAAATTGATCCTGAAAATGAGACTGTAAATAAATTCTCTCATCACCACACAGCCCGTCCTCCAAACAAAGATCCAAAAGTGATTCCATGCACCCGCCAAACCCCCTGTTTATGAATGAAAAGCGGTTTACACACGACTCACAGCTGCTGACTTTCGAACATATCCGGAACAAGTGCTTCACTGACGAATTTTGTTCGAATCACAACGCTATAAATGCTTCACCCACGTACTACAAATACAAATAATCGCCAACAGAACCTAAACACCTAACCTAACCTAACCTATGCCTATATATGCACAATATGCTAATATATTATAATATTAATTTATACTTGAGAAAATTCCCGTTTTGAATGAACAGCATATTAAAATTTATGAATGCGTTTGTGGGGTCGACCGCTGGATGTAATGGACTTGAGTCGAGGACGGGTTGCACCACGAGAGAAAACGAGCTGCCACGTCAGCAATTTAATGCGTCGTAGCTCCAGCCCGTCCTCCAAACAAAGATCCAAAAGTGATTCCATGCACCCGCCAAACCCCTGTTTATGAATGAAAAGCGGTTTACACACGACTCACAACTGCTGACGTTCGAACATATCCGGAACAAGTGCTTCACTGACGAATTTTGTTCGAATCACAACGCTATAAATGCTTCACCCACGTACAACAAATACAAATAATCGCCAACAGAACCTAAACACCTAACCTAACCTATCCTATGTCTATATATACACAACATGCCAATATATTATAATATTAATTTATACTTGAGAAAATTCCCGTTTTGAATGAACAGCATGTTAAAATATATTAATGCGTCTGTGGGGTCGACCGCTGAATGTAATGGACTTGAGTCGAGGATGGGTTGCGTAGCTCATATATGTCGCATTACAAATTTTAAAGGTTCAGTCTGAGGACTGAATCCGTGATAAAATGATACAAATAATTATTAATAAGCTTACTCAAAAGAAATCCAATTTAAATAACTCTCCTTCCGGGAATAAAAAAAACGTTATGCAAGCACGAATGGTTCCTGCCTAGGAAGACGAAAGACGCCATTACGGTATGCCTCCCGCGAGCCACACGCTGTTGAGTGCTGCGAATTCTCGTGAATTTCGAGATATCCTCCAGCTATTCTCCACTTCGACCTCGCCAAATTATTGGGAAGTACCTTATTTCAGCTTCTATCACGTTAAGAATTAATGGTCATTAGCTTTCTTAATTGTGTTGATGTGGTTATAAGGCCGGACAATCAACCCCAGAATGGGTAAGTGTCCCTCATAACTAAAAATAAAATGTTACTTGTACTATCTGCTAAGTAGATGTTGTTTACATTTTTTACAATGTAACAATGAGAGCTTCAGCGGCACAAACAGATAAGCAGCAGTCCTAAGTAATAGTTAAATTTATTTATTCTCAAGTTGAAATAATTGAGTTTAATTCAATTTATTTAATTAAATTTAAATATATAACCCTCAAGCTTGTAAAGAGTTTATTTATGTGAAATCAAAGTATACAGTCCACTATGTTCTAAAGAAATACACAATAAATCACCATTAATAAGAATTGAATTAAATTAAATAAATTAAACCCATATTCCCATAAGTAAATTCCCAAAACAAGCTAAACACAATCTATTTGTAATTGTTTCTCCTATGCTAATGTGGTCTCATCACAAGAATATATAAAGACAATCATACCAAGCTTTCAACTGTCATTACAATTTAAATACTATTTATATCTAACTGGCAACCGTCCCTGGTGTTCCAGCGAAATTCCTCAGAGAGGAATTGGTTGGTTCACGTCCAAGGTTGGTTCACCACTAACCTTGGACGAAATCCTTACGCCCTTCCCTGCCCGTCCTCCAGACAATGACCTAAAAGTGATTCTATGCACCCGCCAAACCCCCTGTTTATGAATGAAAAGCGATTTACACACGACTCACAACTGCTGAAGTTCGAACATATCCGGAACAAGTGCTTCACTGACGAATTTTGTTCGAATCACAACGCTATAAATGCTTCACCCACGTACTACAAATACAAATAATCGCCAACAGAACCTAAACACCTAACCTAACCTAACCTATGCCTATATATGCACAATATGCTAATATATTATAATATTAATTTATACTTGAGAAAATTTCCGTTTTGAATGAATAGCATATTAAAATTTATGAATGCGTCTGTGGGGTCGACCGCTGGATGTAATGGACTTGAGTCGAGGACCGGATGGCCCTTCCAGCTGTGGATCTGTTTAATTATTCACCTGTGTTTCTGGATACTAGGCATTCTCGACTATCTGCCAACAAACTGTAGTTAGTTCTAGGACGCTATTACAATGTTACCCGCCCCCAAGATCTTGCTCACAGGCACCTCCTCTCCTTTAGTCCCAACGTTTGTGCTCGGCATATCTCTTGTGCCAGGTAAGTACGACGGGCTCACCACAGTCTGTGCTGCTTGGAACTTTTTGTTCCGAATAGCTGAATCTAAAACAACAACACGCTTGTTCTCTCTTAAATTCACTATCTCTGCATGGGTACAGAGATAGTGAAGCTGTGCAAACACTATGACACTAGTGCACCATCTAAATTTATACCGCTGTATTAATATTCCAGTCTACTGTATGCTGCCTGTGGCTACAAGTACTGGGCCCCATAAGGAACTCGACTCAATAAAAATAATTGTCACGAGGCTCTTTTCGACTGAGATGGCATCACTGGTCCTGTTAAACTTTGCCACTGTTGAAAGACATTACTCTTCCATTACCATTACAGTTTAACTGATAGATCAAACCACTGTTGTGTGTAGCTCCTGGGTTTGTATGTTAGCTGATGTAACACACTCAGCACCTGGGCTTTTCCAGTTTCATTCACTCTGAATGTTCTGTTTTGATATCACGCCACCTCAAGATTTCACTTGGATGGTTAGACACGGATGCATCTTCCATTTTACTCAGAATTAGTGCTACCTTCCTTAGTGCACTTTCAGCCTCATGTCCTTCCTTGGCACGCCAATATTCTTGAAAAAAGTATGTCATCCACTCCTCTGAAGAATTTTACCATCAACATCAGGTCTGTTCCCATTGGTGTACTTGCAGGGGTTGAGCTTTGGCTCTTTGGTCCCCACCTTCTGCTGTGGCAGTTTATCTATTCTTTTAGCCTTCATATTAAAGGTCCAGTAAAATCTGTCTTCCAAGACCAACTCCTGGGCTCACACTCACTGGTGGGTGTCACAATAATCTTCTTTTGGTTCCGTCCTTACTGACACAGCATCAATTTGACGAGGTACATTCAACAGGTGTGGAGCAACAGGTGGCAGTTTTTATCCTACTTTTTATCTCTGATAGGAGTGATACGCCTGGGACAATCCTTGGGCTTCTTTGCAAAATGTCTTGACTTTGTTTTTCACAAATTGGTCCCGACGGTCCGCATTTTGATCTGTTATCATGACAACGTCCTGTTCTCGACTTCTCGAACATTTCATCATTGCTTCCGTCTGGTCGGGAATCTGTCCTCACCCTCATCACCGATTAATTTTCCCCTAAGTCGTAACATCACATTCACACTGACTTAACCTATGCTCGCCTAAGTTTACAATGGTTATCTTGAGATAACCATGGTGGCAAAAACGTTAAAATGAACGATAACGAAGGTTACTGAGTGTATAAAAACTCACGCAGGATGAGCCATATGCTAGGCTGAGATGAAATCATGACACCTACTATATCCAACGTTACTTGATGACCAAACTACACACCAGAAGACGAGACGACGACTCATCTTCTGGCGTGTGGTTTGGTCTGTATATCTTCAGCCACATTATTGTGACTCATCGTCTCCAACTTTGCTCTGTTGGTTCTGACCTAAGGTTTTTATTATTCCTTATTTATACCAATTACTTCCCATACAAGCATACACGTAACCGTTTGTTGACGTGTGTATGCCTGGTGTGTGAATTAATATATTGGGACTGAGTGATTGGGCCTCAGTGCCTATGCTAACTTTGCCCTTTGTCAGGTCTTATATGGAAATTAGATTATCCGCCTCAATTAACACTTTGTCAGGAGACTTCTAGGATAATAAATCATCGCCCTCCCCACTATGTCAAGCGCTTACTATCATTATCAATTATCTAGCCTTTGGAAAAACTGCTGGGATGCTCAATTCTCTTAGCCATAGTATATACGTTACTGGGATTACAATATCATCCTTCATCAAGAAGTTACTGGATTGATTACTATATGTAATGGACAATTATTAATAATATTGTATTGTTAAGTAATGACAACAATTAATATATTTATGGTTTTCCTCAGTTAACCGGGGAACTGACACAGCTGAAGTTGTCGTGGCAATTTTAGGAACAAGATCAGACCCTCGCTGCTCCGTCCTCTTTCTTGTAGATGACAAACCTTCCTCCACCTCTCTCTTCACGGTATGAACATCATACTTGCTCAAATAATTTTGCTATAATACACATTTATTTTTCAAATTTTGTTGCTGAATATAATTAATGTTGATAAACTCACCATGAACGTGTATGTATTTCCATAGGGGTTCAGGTCTCACCGACCTCCGTGGAGTGTGACAGTGTTTGAGGCGACAGAAGGCGGCCAGAACGCCAACGTGACACTGACGAAGCTCTCCCGGGTGGTCGCTCACGCTAGGCGGGTAGGTCTCACTTATGTATCATCACTTCCCTATTGCTAACTACATATTAATGGCTACCTATCAGTGACGACTCTCGCACACCCGGCCAAAATTACTGAAAGGGAATATTTTATTTATTAAGACATAATAACTTGCACAATGAGACTGAGATCAGTTTTTGTCTCGGTTTCAATGTGTTACTTTAATCCACCAAGATGGCGTATTGCAGAGCCCTGACGTGAGTTTAGTCGAGTGTGCTCTACAGATTATGAGGTTTTCATTAACCTATGGAAGGACATCTATGATATCATGTATCATCGAGTACAAAAGAGGTCCATGATTGGTCACAACACATCATCTAAAATCACAGAGCGAGAGCACTCATTCTAGCAGCCCTGGTCGACGGTAGAAATATGTGATGAAAAACTACGATAGTCAAAGTACTTTTCATTGCCACAGGAAGTTATTGTGCATTACAACCATCTGTATGAGAAACTTTGGCTGAGCCGTTTTGTGGTCGTTGCAGGAATCAAGTGGAAGTCAGCTGAGTTCGGAGGAGCAGCTTGGATTATTTTTTATGTGTGCACACAAAGCCAGGCTGCTGGTGTGTGAATACCAGAAAGGTTTTTGGGCTCAATTCGGAAAGACAGGTCCTACCACATGGGATAAAGGACGTTCATCAGGATGTCATGCAACGATAATGATGTTCGTACCGACAAAAAAATACAGAGTTGTACCATATGCACAATGCACTCGGAAGAGGATTCACCTCAACGTTACAAGCAAGCAGTTGTCTTTGAAACTGTGTATTAAATTACAGCTAACATGGTTGTGCTTGGTGAGGTTAGGAGGTGCTCTCATGGTACACTCACCTCCCGAGCTGAGCCAACTATCACAGCAGCCTTGACTGGCTAATCAATGTACTTTATCCCTGTTCACTGGACTTTATCGTCCATCTTTATCCAGGTGAGGAGTGTTGTGATATGAAAATATATCATGTATATATTGTGTATTGGCAAGGCACTGCACATCAAGGAACTTCAGCCATCAACAGCAAGCTAACACTCTGCTATCTTCGAGGCCAAGGCGGATCATCCAACATACTGCTCCAGCTAACATTGAAACACTGGGGACGGGCAAGCTGCAGTCGGCCTAGTGGTCTATGCCACACTTGCCACACTGGACTCTCGATTATATATTCGGCTGCTTCAGCCAAATTATAGTTACTTTTACTCTGACTTTGAAGATGTTGACAGGATCAACGAAACACACATATCAGCGTCACGCCATTATAACTGTAAAATGAATTTTGGAGAGAAACTTTTTCACCTTCCATCTCTAACAGAGAGGAAGCTAAGAAATCAGAGAAGATTCGCGCTAGAATAATTAATCTCAGCATATCTCTACATATGTATCAAGCAGTCTATCAAGTTATATCATCATCTAGCTATTACCCTAACAGGCTATCTCTCTGTCTTCCCTCGTCTGTGCTTCCTCTCTGAAGAAACACTGAAACATATTTATGGGTTTCGGGTGCTTTTTTTCCTTTCTCTTCTATTCTCTTCATTTCGTTTTTTTTCAGTAAGAACTCCACCTGTCTCTAGCCGTCTCTCCTGCTAGCTATATCTCTATCGACCTCTTTCTCTATCTAGCTATTGCTGTCTCCCAACCTGTCCTCAGGGAGGGTCTATCCCCATAGTAATCACTTCAGAAGCATTATGTGATTTACGATATTATCGTCTCCCAATCCATGGTTATATTAGGTTAAGGTTAAGTTTGGTTAAGTTAAAACAAAGTGTTATTCTCAAACATGTATAATATGAAATGAATTTTTTTTAACTATCCCCTAGAGAACTGGTTCCCAAACTGCGGGCCATGGCTCCCTGCAGGTCCATTATCAAATATGTTCGAGGCCATAAATTGAGGCAGTGTACAGGTTACGACACTCAAAGAAAGAAAAAAATAACAACAATTATATTTATACACAGAAAGTAATCGCAGTAACGTGACAGCATCAATGAGAAAACCATTGATGCAGTTATAGTGAATATTCTCTGTGTATTGGAAGAAGAGCATCAGAGGTAAAACAAGTCCTGTATGACAGAGGCAGAGTGCAAGTGGGGATTGAGTGAAAATGCTGTCCTGGCTTCAGCAGAAGTCTCAGGAAATCCTTATGTGTTTAATTGAATTCCAGGTTGCAATCAACATAGTCCTGGGGACCATTCAGGTTTGTTCGCATTTGTGTTCCTCACGTGTGCCCCAAAGAATGAGGTGATTTGATAATATACTATGCCCAAGATTACCATCCGAGTGCCGGCGGGCTGATGGACAAATAGCCTCGGCTACCATCAGTTTTTGTCCGGTCGTGATGGTCGAGTGGATTAAGGTGTCCTGTACATACCAGTTGCGTTGCTCCTGGCAGTATAGGTTCGAGTCACTTCTGGGATGTGTGTTTTCAGTTATATATATATGTACAATGTGTGTGTGTGAGAAAGCTGCATGAACGCGCAAGCCATAGATCACTAAGAACTCTTTGACCCGGCCAGGATTCGAACCCATGCCGTCCAGGATCACCCCTAAATCTACACAGTACCGTCACCACCGCACCAATGATCGTCTATAAGGATTGGTCAGTCTTGGTGCTTATTAACTAAGCTCCCTGACGGACGGCATGGGTTCGAATCCTGGCCGGGTCAAAGAGTTCTTAGTGATCTATGGCTTGCGCATTCATGCAGCTTTCTCACACATGTTAGACTCAGTGCGGCCCGTGCATGCGCCAGAATTTGATGAAAAACTGTACCCAAATGGATCCATGAGTGTCGTCGGGGGTTGATCAGTCAGGGAGCTTAGTTAATAAGCACCAAGACTGACCAATCCTTATAGACGATCATTGGTGCGGTGGTCACGGTACTGTGTACGTTTAGGGGTGATCCTGGACGGCATAGGTTCGAATCCTGGCCGGGTCAAAGAATTCTTAGTGATATATATATATATATATATATATATATATATATATATATATATATATATATATATATATATATATATATATATATATATATATATATATATATATATATATATACATATATATATATATATACACATATATATACACTAGCTGTACCCGCCACGCGTTGCTGTGGCTCAGTCTGGTTAAATGGAAAAGAAAGAAAAGAGAAAGTGCACGTTTTTAATATGTTTAATTTCACAATGCTTGTGGGTATACAATATGTTTTGTTGTTCCATTGTCTGTGAAGTTTTACAGGTTGTCTGGTTTGCCGACTCTAGAACATGCAACATTGGCCCTGAACTTTGTTGATGGTGATTGCAAATGCCACTCGAATTGGAAATTACAATATCTTAAATTGAAATGGCATGTCTGTTGGAATCATAGGAATGCAAGGAATGAATACATCTTCACCTTTGAAAGGTCCTGTCAAGATTGTTGCTTCTACGACGTTGCTGATTAATTTTCTACTGCAAGGCGCATGGCGTTGCAAAGCTTTAGCTGATTGATATTTCACAACATGATAATTGGCACGCAGATTTTCAATTGCCGTACGTGTGATGGTATCCCAGGTAGATCGAGTGAATTAAAATATTCTGTTGGATAACTAACTGCTTCATCTGCTTTCTCAACAGTGTCGACGGACTTGTATCGAGGAATTACAGGTAATATTTGCCTGAAATCTGCTGCAAGCAATATTAATGCATTCCCAAATGGTATGATGTTTCCACGCAAATCTTGCAATTATCGATCAAGAGCCTCGAGCGATTTTTTATGGGCCATTGTGCATTCATCCCAAACGATAAGTTTACATATCTGCAATACTTTTCCCATGTTGGATGCTTTGGAAATGTTGCACTTGGGATTTTCAATGAATTGCATATTCAATGGCAATTTCAAAGCTGAAGTAGCAGTTCTTCCACCTGGTAACAATGTCCCAGCTATTGCGGACGATGCAAGAGCTAAGTTTATGCCATTTTGGGATCGAAATGCTGCCAGAATCAATCTAATTAGGAAGGATTTACAGTTCCTCCTGGCGCATCTAAGAAGATTTTTCCAATCACGTTATTGACAGTGTGAATTATTTGATTGTAAATGCCTTTTCGCTCAAGCGTTAGCTAAGGAATATGTGATTGCACATACAACAACAGATCCCTCATGTTGTAATTTTGTTCACGACACAATTCTACATCGAACGAAGTAGCAGCAGATCAATTCGGTGATGGCACTTCCAATTGATTTAGAACTTTGTTCGCGAATTCTAAGCACAAATCTTCAATCATTATCAACGCTTCGTTGTAGATTTTAGCTGTGGCATCCATGTTCATATTTGAATTTTCCTTGCGTATTCGACGGATAATATCTTCAGCCATGTGCGATTTATATTTCTCCCATAACTCTGTTGGAGATGAAGGAGAGCAGGTGGTCAATATGATTGCAAACAATGCACAAATTTTATTTGGATGTGACGTGTTGGACACGTCATTAATGCATACATCCCAGTGTCGGTCGTTCTCCAATAAATTCCGAGCTTGACATGCACTACGGTAAGTGGCATGTGTTACGCCATTGACAAATCTCGGTGGCTGGAAAGACGTTGGACTTGGCACATTTACCAACAGCATGCGAAGAAAGAAGCATTCATCTTGATTGGGATGCACGGTCTACAGTCTACCTATCGTAGTTTATTTGAATATGCCAGGTTGTCCATCGACTCGGTCTCCTCGTTTGCGTCGTTCAAATGATTTTCTACTGGCATTCCATGTGTAATACGTAGGCACTTCCCAATACAGCAGTATTTTCGCAAACGCGTCATTTTGACATAACGTGAAGAAAGTAGTTATAGAAAGTGAAGAAAGTAGTATAGCCGGTGGATTCATACTGTTTGTTGTACATTTGCAGCTGTGAAACGTGTTGTCCATTTTCTTGTTTTCAAAACAAAAACAAAAAATACTAACGAAATATTTCAGTTCAAACGCAGATCAATCGACACAGCTCAATTTCACCACCA